CTGGGCCACCACCAGACCCACCACCACTAAGACCGCCACCTAAGACCCACCACCACCACCACCATTGAATACCATCACCACCACAGACCCACCACCACCACCACCATTAAGACCCACACCACAAGACCACCACCACCACCCATTAAGACCACCACCACCTGACCCACCCACCACCACCACCACCACCACCACCACCTGGCCACCACCACCACCACCACCCACCACCACCACCACCACCTGCCACCACCACACCACCACCCCCCACACACCACCACCCACCACCACCACCACCAGTATACAGTTCCGGAAGTTTAGGTTGAATACCTGGGGTTAAGCCTGTCTCTACACCTCACTCCTCCCATCTCCCACACCTCCCCCCACCTCTCCCTCTCTCCTTACACCCCTCCCCTTCCTCTCTCCTCTCCCACCCCTCCCTCTCTTACCCCTCTTCCTCTCCCTCTCACCTCTCCCTCCCTCTCCCCTCTCTCCAACACCTTCCCCCCCCTCCTTCCTCTCCTTGAAAAAGTAGGGTGGAGAGTGAAAGAAGGTGAAAGGAGGTGAAAAATTTCGGAGGAGGTAGAGGGCAGGCTGTGTCATGGGTTAGTCATTGTCTGTCGGTACAGGCACTGACAGCCCTGCTCCCATATATGGGTGTTTTGGCCTTATTCATATTCCGCCGACCCTACTGGCGGATGCTGGTCTAGGGAGGTTGTGTGCCTGGCCGTGTAGATCAGGGTGGTAATGGACCTCCTCTCCTCTTTCACCTTCTCCCTCCCCCTCTCCTCACCCTCTCGCCTCTCTCCTCTCCTCCTCTCCACCTCACCCCTCTCAGTTCCCTTCTCCCCATTTCTCACAACATCCACCTCTCCATCTCCTCACCACTCTCTCTACCACTTGATATTCTCTCTCTCCTTCTACCTATCCACAGTGTGAGATCACGCTGAAGGTCAGGTGTGCCTCACAGGGCACAGCTAGCGCCAGGTGTAGCCTCACAGGTCACGGCTACCAGCAGGTCAGGTGTAGCCTCACAGGCACAGCTACCAGCAGGTCAGGTGTAGCCTCTGGTCACAGCTACCAGTAGAGTCAGGTGGCCTCACAGGCACAGCCACCAGCAGGTCAGGTGTAGCCTCACAGTCTGCAGCTACCAGCAGGTCAGGTTAGCCTCAGGGGCACAGCTACCAGCAGAGGTGTAGCCTCTGAGGCACAGCTACCAGCAGGTCAGGTGTAGCCTCAGGAGTCGCTACCAGCACGCCAGGTGTAGCCACAGGTCAGGCTGCCAGCAGGTCAGGTGTAGCCTCACAGGGGCTCAGCTACCAGCAGGTCAGGTGTAGCCTCACAAGTCACAGCTACCAGTAGGGTCAGGTGTAGCCTCACAGGGCAGCAGCTACCAGCAGGTCAGGTGTGGCCTCACAGTCACAGCTACCAGTAGGTCAGGTGTGGCCTCACAGGGCACAGCTACCAGCACGCCAGGTGTAGCCTCACAGGTCACGGCTACCAGCAGGTCAGGTGTAGCCTCACAGGGCCACAGCTACCCAGCAGGTCAGGTGTAGCCTCACAGGTACAGCTACCAGTAGAGTCAGGTGTGGCCTCACAGGGCACAGCTACCAGCAGGTCAGGTGTGGCCTCACAGGTCACGCTACCAGTGGGTCAGGTGTAGCCTCACAGGGCACAGCTACCAGAGGTCAGGTGTAGCCTCACAGGTCACAGCTACCAGCAGGTCAGGTGTAGCCTCACAGGGGGCACAGCTACGAGAAGGTCAGGTGTAGCCTCACAGGTCCAGCTACCAGTAGGTCAAGTGTAGCCTCACAGGGCTGCAGCTACCAGCAGGTCAGGTGTAGCCTCACAGGGCACAGCTACCAGATGGTCAGGTGTAGCCTCCTGGGGCACAGCTACCAGCAGGTCAGGTGTAGCCTCACAGGTCACAGCCACCATCTGGTCAGGTGTAGCCTCACAGTCACCTACCAGTAGGTCAGTGTAGCCTCACAGGGCACAGCTACCAGCAGGTCAGGTTAGCCTCACAGGGCACAGCTACCAGATGGTCAGGTGTAGCCTCACAGGGCACAGCTACCAGCAGGTCAGGTGTAGCCTCTGGGTCACAGCCACCATCTGGTCCGGTGTAGCCTCACAGGGCACAGCTACCAGCAGGTCAGGTGTGGCCTCACAGGCACAAACCTAACCCATCACAACTCAACCATTTACCAGAAAGCCCTGGATGGCTCTCAAATGTGTCAGCAGGCCCCAGACGGCTCTCAAATGTGTCAGCAGCCCCGGATGGCTCTCAAATGTCAGCAGCCCCCGGATGGCTCTCAAATGTGTCAGGCCCAGATGGTTTTCAAATGTGTCAGCAGCCCGAATTGCTCTCAAATGTCAGCAGCCTACAGATAGCTCTCAAATATGTCAGCAGTCCCCGGAAGACTCTCAAATGTGTCAGCAGCCCTACAGATGGCTCTCAAATGTTTCAGCAACCCCAGTTGCTCTCAAATGTGTCAGCAGCCCCCGGATGGCTCTCAAATGTGTCAGCAGTCCCCAGAAGACTCTCAAATGTGTCAGCAGCCCTACAGATAGCTCAAATATGTCAGCAGTCCCCGGAAGACTCTCAAATGTGTCAGCCCCCGGATGGCTCTCAAATGTGTCAGCAGCCCCACAGATGGTTTCAAGTGTCAGCAGACCCACAGATAGCTCTCAAATGTGTCAGCAGCCCCACAGATGGCTCTCAAATGTGTCAGCAGCCCACAGATAGCTCTCAAATGTGTCAGGAGCCACGAGGTGGCTCTCAAATGTGTCAGCAGCCCCCGGATGGCTCTCAAATGTGTCAGCAGCCCCCGGATGGCTCTCATATGTGTCTGCAACACAGATTCTCTCAAATGTGTCCGACAGATTGCTCTCAAATGTGTCAGCAGCCCCATAGATAGCTCTCAAACGTGTCAGCATCCTCGGTGGCTCTCAAATGTATCAGGGCCCCAAAGATTGCTCTCAAATGTGTCAGCATCCCCACAGATAGCTCTCAAATCTGTCAACAGCCCCCCGGATGGCTCTCAAATGTGTCAGCAGCCCCACAGATAGCTTTCAAATGTGTCAGCAGCCATACAGATGGCTCTCAAATGTGTCAGCAGGCCCCCAGACAGCTCTCAAATGTGTCAGCAGCCCTCTGGATGGCTCTCAAATGTGTCAGCAGGCCCCAGATAGCTCTCAAATGTGTCCAGCAGCCCCCGATGGCTGTCAACAATTCCCGGATGGCACTCAAATGTGTCGGCAGCCAGGTGGCTGTTAAATGTGTCAGCAGCCCCTGGATGGCTCTCAAATGTGTCAGAGCCCCCGGATGGCATTTAAATGTGCCAGCAGCTCCCGAATGGCTCTCAAATGTGTCAGCAGTCCCAAGGTTAGCTCTCAAATGTGTCAGCAGCCCACAGATAGCTCTCAGTGTCAGCAGCCCCACAGACAACTCTCAAATGTCAGCAGCCTCAGAATAGCTCTCAAATGTGTCCAGCAGCCTACAGATAGCTCTCTCAAATGTGTCAGCAGTCCCCTGGATGACTCTCAAATGTGTCAGCAGCCTAGGATGGCTCTGAAATGTGTCAGCCCCCAGGATGGATCAAATGTGTCAGCAGCCCTACAGATGGCTCTGAAATGTGTCAGCAACTCCCCGGATGGCTCTCAAATGTGTCAGTATCCCCACAGATAGCTCTGAAATGTGTCAGCAACTCCCGGATGGCTCTCAAATGTGTCAACCCCATGGATGGCTCTCAAATGTGTCAGTATCCCCACAGATGGCCTCCAAATGTGTCCAGGAGCCCCAGACGGCTCTCAAAATGTGTCAGCAGCCTCTGGATGGCTCTCAAATGTCAGCAGGCCCCCAGATAGCTCTCAAATGCGTCAGCAACCCACAGATAGCTCTCAAATGTGTCAGCAGCCCACGGGTGGCTCTCAAATGTGTCAACAGTTCCCGGATGGTTTTAAATGTGTGCCCTACAGATAGCTCTCCTCAAATGTGTCAGCGCACAGATCTCTCTCTCAAATGTGTCAGCAGCCCTACAGATCTCTCCAAATGTGCCTGCAGCCCCACAGATAGCTCTCAAATGTGTCAGCAGCCCCACAGATCTCTCAGTGTCAGCAGCCACAGATCTCTCTCAAATGTGTCAGCAGCCCTACAGATAGCTCTCAAATGTGTCAGCAGCCCCACAGATCTCTCTCAAATGTGTCAGCAGCCTACAGATCTCTCTCTCAAATGTGTCAGCAGCCCCACAGATAGCTCTCAATGTGTCAGCAGCCCCACAGATAGCTCTCAAATGTGTAGCAGCCCCAATCTCTCTCAAATGTCCCTACAGATCTCTCTCAATGTGTCCAGCCCTACAGATCTCTCCAAATGTGTCAGCAGCCCCACAGTCTCAATGTAGCCCCACAGATCTCTCTCAAATGTGTCAGCAGCCCTACAGATCTCTCTCTCAAATGTGTCAGCAGCCCTACAGATCTCTCCATGTGTCAGCAGCCCCCAGATAGCTCTCAAATGTGTCGCAGCTACAGATAGCTCTCAAATGTGTCAGCAGCCCTACAGATAGCTCTCCAAATGTGTCCAGCCCTACAGATAGCTCTCAATATTGCAGCAGCCCTACAGAATGCTCTCAAATGTGTCAGCAGCCCTACAGATAGCTCTCAAATGTGTCAGCAGCCCTACAGATAGCTCTCAAGCCAGCAGCCCCACAGATGGCTCTCAAATGTGTCAGCAGCCCTACAGATAGCTCTCAGTCAGCAGCCCCACAGATAGCTCTCAAATGTGTCAGCAGCCCCAGATAGCTCTCAAATGTGTCAGCAGCCCCACAGATAGCTCTCAAATGTGTCAGCAGCCCCACAGATGGCTCTCAAATGTGTCAGCAGATAGCTCTCAAATGTGTCAGCAGCCCCACAGATAGCTCTCAAATGTCAGCAGCCCCACAGATAGCTTCCAGTCAGCAGCCCCACAGATAGCTCTCAAATGTGTCAGCAGCCCCACAGATAGCTCTCAAATGTCAGCAGCCCCACAGATCTTCAATGTGTCAGCAGCCCCAGATAGCTCTCAAATGTGTCAGCAGCCCCACAGATCTCTCAAATGTGTCAGCAGCCCCACAGATGGCTCTCAAATGTCAGCAGCCCACAGATAGCTCTCAAATGTGTCAGCCCCACAGATAGCTCTCCAATGTGTCAGCAGCCCCACAGATAGCTCTCAAATGGTCAGCAGCCCCACAGATCTCTACAAGTCAGCAGCCCACAGATAGCTCTCCAAATGTGTCAGCAGCCCCACAGATAGCTTCAATGTGTCAGCAGCCCCACAGATAGCTCTCAAATGTGTCAGCAGCCCCACAGATCTCTCAAATGTGTCAGCAGCCCCACAGATAGCTTCAAATGTCAGCAGCCCCACAGATAGCTCTCAAATGTGTCAGCAGCCCCACAGATTCTCAAATGTGTCAGCAGCCCCACAGATCTCTCTAAATGTGTCAGCAGCCCCACAGATAGCTCTCAAATGTGTCAGCAGCCCCACAGATAGCTCTCAAATGTGTCAGCAGCCCCACAGATAGCTCTCAAATGTGTCAGCAGCCCCACAGATAGCTCTCAATGTCAGCAGCCCCACAGATCTCTCTCAAATGTGTCAGCAGCCCCACAGATAGCTCTCAAATGTGTCAGCAGCCCCACAGATAGCTTCAATGTCAGCAGCCCCACAGATAGCTCTCAATGTGTCAGCAGCCCCACAGATCTCTCTCAAATGTGTCAGCAGCCCCACAGATAGCTCTCAATGTCAGCCCACAGATAGCTCTCAAATGTGTCAGCAGCCCCACAGATAGCTCTCAAATGTGTCAGCAGCCCCACAGATAGCTCTCAAATGTGTCAGCAGCCCTACAGATAGCTCTCAAATGTCAGCAGCCCTACAGATAGCTCTCAAATGTGTCAGCAGCCCTACAGATATCTCAAATGTGTCAGCAGCCCCACAGATAGCTCTCAAATGTGTCAGCAGCCCCAGATAGCTCTCAAATGTGTCAGCAGCCCACAGATAGCTCTCAATGTCAGCAGCCCTACATAGCTTCCAAATGTCAGCAGCCCCACAGATAGCTCTCAAATGTCAGCAGCCCACAGATAGCTCTCAAATGTCAGACACAGATAGCTCCAAATGTGTCAGCAGCCCCACAGATAGCTCTCAAATGTCAGCAGCCCTACAGATAGCTCTCAAATGTCAGCAGCCCCACAGATAGCTCCTCAAATGTGTCAGCAGCCCCACAGATAGCTCTCAAATGTGTCAGCAGCCCTACAGATAGCTTCTCAAATGTGTCAGCAGCCCCACAGATAGCTCTCAAATGTGTCAGCAGCCCCACAGATAGCTCTCAAATGTTCAGCAGCCCACAGATAGCTCTCAAATGTGTCAGCAGCCCCACAGATAGCTCTCAATGTGTCAGCAGCCCCACAGATGGCTCTCCAAATGTCAGCAGCCCCACAGATAGCTCTCAAATGTGTCAGCAGCCCCACAGATAGCTCTCAAATGTGTCAGCAGCCCCACAGATGGCTCTCAATGTGTCAGCAGCCCCACAGATAGCTCTCAAATGTGTCAGCAGCCCCACAGATGGCTCCTTCAATGTCAGAGCCCCACAGATAGCTCTCAAAGGCCAGCCCCACAGATAGCTCTCAAATGTGTCAACAGCCCCACAGATGGCTCCCCAAATGTGTCAGCAGCCCTACAGATAGCACCCCACAGATAGCTCTCAAATGTGCAGCAGCCCCAGATAGCTCTCAAATGTGTCAGCAGCCCCACAGATAGCTCTCAAATGTGTCAGCAGCCCCACAGATAGCTCTCAAATGTGTCAGCAGCCCCACAGATGCTCTCAATGTCAGCAGCCCCACAGATAGCTTCTCAAATGTGTCAGCAGCCCCACAGATGGCTCTCAAATGTGTCAGCAGCCCCACAGATAGCTCTCAAAATGTCAGCAGCCCCACAGATAGCTCTCAAATGTGTCAGCAGCCCCACAGATAGCTCTCAATGTGCAGCAGCCCCACAGATGGCTCTCAAATGTGTCAGCAGCCCCACAGATAGCTCTCAAATGTGTCAGCAGCCCCACAGATAGCTCTCAAATGTGTCAGCAGCCCCACAGATCTCAAATGTGTCAGCAGCCCCAAGATGGCTTCTCAAATGTGTCAGCAGCCCCACAGATAGCTCTCAAATGCCGCAGCCCCACAGATGCCTCAAATGTCAGCACCCCAGCTCTCAATGTGTCAGCAGCCCCACAGATGGCTTCAAATGTGTCAGCAGCCCCACAGATAGCTCTCAAATGTGTCAGCAGCCCCACAGATGGCTCTCAAATGTGTCAGCAGCCCCACAGATAGCTCTCAAATGTGTCAGCAGCCCCACAGATGGCTCTCAAATGTGCAGCCCCACAGATGGCAATTAAGGTGAGAGGAGGACCTGAGTGTTTCGTCACCCAAGATAATATGAACTATAATGGTGTGTGTGTGTGTGTGTGTGTGTGTGTGTGTGTGTGTGTGTGTGTGTGTGTGTGTGTGTGAGTTACGTATCCTCAATTGCTACACAGATGTTAGTAACTTCAATATAGGGTATGAAGTACTGTATGTGAATAGATAGATAGATAGCATGTATATAGCCAATATAGGTATACAGTTCAGCATGTATATAGCCAATACAGGTATACAGTTCAGCATGTATATAGCCAATACAGGTATACAGTTCAGCATGTATATAGCCAATACAGGTATACAGTTCAGCATGTATATAGCCAATACAGGTATACAGTTCAGCATGTATATATACAGTTCAGCATGTATATAGCTATAGTTCAGCATGTATATACACATATATACAGTTCAGCATGTATATATGTACACAGGTATACAGTTCAGCATGTATATAGCCAATACAGGTATACAGTTCAGCATGTATATACACAGGTATACTGTTCAGCATGTATATAGAATACAGGTATACAGTTCAGCATGTATATAATACAGGTATACAGTTCAGCATGTATATAAATATATGTCTGTACATGTATATAGTCAATACAGGTTTACAGTTCAGCATGTATATAGCCAATACAGGTATACAGTTCAGCATGTATATAGCCAATACAGGTATACAGTTCAGCATGTATATAGCCAATACAGGTATACAGTTCAGCATGTATATAGCCAATACAGGTATACAGTTCAGCATGTATATAGCCAATACAGGTATACAGTTCAGCATGTATATAGTCAATACAGGTATACAGTTCAGCATGTATATAGCCAATACAGGTATACAGTTCAGCATGTATATAGCCAATACAGGTATACAGTTCAGCATGTATATAGCCAATACAGGTATACATTCATTAATCTATGTAAGATATGGGTCAGTCAACTCCAGATGTGTATGACTGTGTGTCGTGTCATGTGTGTCATACAGGTGAGTGTTTTTGATTGACTTCTGGTTCAGGGTTAAGTGTCATAAGTGTCACTGTCATGTACGTGTGTCAAGGGTCAATTAGGGTGAGTTGTATTGTTGATGTGTGTCATTCCTGCTTGACAGGTGAAGAGAGAGATGTCAGAAAGTGTAGTGTCAGGTAGAGTTGTCAGGGAACTTAACGTCAGCCTAGGTATTAATTACGTGTGACACCGTATAATGAAGGTGTCACTTAGTCAATAAATCCTAGGGAACATAACGGAATTACACAGACAGACATAACACATGAGGTAGAGGTGGTGCGAGGGATAATAAGCCAGGTGTGGAGACAGACAGGTAGCAGAGAGTTATCCGAAATATAGATAATGTGTGTGCGTCGTTACCCGGCCGTTCTCATCTCGCTAATCACTTCCGGGTCAACATAAACTGCTGCTTCATGATGGAGTTTAATTAGAAAATTTCACCTCAGTGTTACATCAGGGTGAATGAGGGCGTGAAAGTGAAGGTACACACACACACGCACACACACACACACACACACACACACACAGGAGGTCACCAACTGCGGGACAGTATAACAGGAACAATACCTGTGGTGGGTCAGAGGGGATCATATGTCTTACCTAACTTGACGTTGGCACTGGTCACTTGTACCTATACTTGTACCTGTAACTATACTTGTACCTGTAACTATACTTGTACCTGTAACTATACTTGTACCAGTGCCTATACTTGTATCTGTACCTATACTTGTACCTATACTTTTATCTGTACCTGTGCTTGTATCTGTACCTATACTTGTATCTGTACCTATACTTGTATCTGTACCCCCGCACTTCTGCATCCGCACCCATACCTGCATCCGCAACTCCACAATTTGCATCCAATCTGTACCTGCATCCGCAAATCTGCACCAGCACCATACCCCTTATCCGCACCCACACCTGCATCCGCACCCGCACCTGCATCCGCACCCGCACCTGCATCCGCGTTCCATACCTGCATCCGCACCCATACCTGCATCCGCACCTGCACCTGCATCCGCACCCACACCTGCATCCGCGCCCGCACTCTGCACCCTGCACCCATACCTGCATCCGCACCCATACCCAGATCCGCACCCATACCCATCCGCACCCGCACTCATCCGCAATCCATACCCATCCGCACCTGCACCCAGAAATTGCACCTGCACTCTGCAATCTGCACCCATACCTGCATCCGCACCTACACCTTCGCATCCGCAAATCACACTGCATCCGCACCGCACTTGCATCCGCACCCATACTTGTATCTGTACCTGCACTCTGTATCTGCACCATACTTGCATCTGCACCATATTTGGTATCTGGTACCTGCATTTGCATCTGCACACATGCCCTTGCATCTGCACCTGCACTTGCATCTGCACCTGCACTCTGTGATCTGCACCTACACCTTGCATCTGCACCTGCATCAGATCTGCGTTCCACATTCTGCATCTGCACCTTACACTCTGCATCTCGCACATACACCTTGCATCCGCACCCACACTCTGCATCTGCACCCATACCCCTGCATCTGCACCTGGGTACTCTGCATCTGCACCCATACTCTGCATCCGCACCTGCACTTGCATCCGCAACCTGCACTCTGCACCTGCACCCACATTCTGCATCCAAATTCCATACCTGGCATCTGCACCCATACCTTGCATCCGCACCCGTACCTGCATCCGCACCCACACCTTGCATCCGCAACCTGCACTTGCATCCGCACCCATACCTGCATCCGGTAACCACAATTTGCATCTGGCACCCGTACCTGCATCCGCACCCAGCGCCTGCATCCGTACCCGGTACCTTGGTATCCGCACCCCTGCACTCTGCATCTGCACCCATACCTTTGCATCCGCACCCTGCACTTGCATCCGCACCCCATACCCCCTGCATCCGCACCCACACCTGCATCCGCACCCATACCTGCATCCGCACCCCGCACCTGCATCCGCACCCACACCTGCATCCGCACCCATGCCTGCATCCGCACCCACACCTGCATCCGCACCCACACTCTGTATCCGGCACCCGCACCTGCATCCGGTACCCATACCTGCATCTGCACCCATACCTGTACCCATACTCTTTCATCCGCACCCATAATTTGCATCCGCGCCCATACCTCATCCGCACCCGTACCTGCATCCGCACCCACACCTGCACCCATACTCTATCCGCACCCACACCTTGCATCCGCACCCACACCTTGCATCCGCAACTACACTCTGCATCCGCACCTGCAATTCTCCATCCGCACCCGCACTCTGCATCCGCACCCGCACTCTGCATCCGCACCCACACTTGCATCCGCACCATACCTGCACCCACACTTTATCCGCACCCATACCTGCATCCGCACCCGCACTTGCACCCGCACCTGGTATCCGCACCCACACCTGCATCCGCACCCGTACTTGCATCCGCACCCATACCTGCATCCGCACCCATACCTTGCATCTGCACCTGCACTGCATCCGCAATCTGCACCTGTTCCACACTTCATCCGCACCATACCTGCATCCGCACCCATACCTGCAGA